CAACGCTCTGGGCCGCCCCCGCGCCCCCGCCGCGCAGGGAGGCCGGGCCGCCCAGGCCTGGCGCGGCAGAGGGGCAGTGGCCAGCACGCCCTGGGCGCGCGCCGCCGGCCCCGCGGGAGGGTCCGTGCAGGCGGTCACGTCGTCGAGGATCGTCCCCATGACCTGCGGAGGAGGAGGAGGAGGAGGAGGAGGAGAAGGAGGAGAGGAGGAGGAGGAGGAGGAGGAGGAGGAGGAGGAGGAGGAGGAGGAGGCGGAGGGCGGGAACAGCTTGTGCCGAGTCAGCGGGCGCAAGCGAGCCGAGGCAGGTGCAGGCGCCGGTCGGGCCATGGGCGGGGCGCGCCGGAAGCGAAGCGGGGCACGGCGGAGCGCGGGGAGAGCAGGGGCGGGGTGATCAGCAAGGCAAGCAATGGCATGAGCACAACCTCTGGCGCCGCGGGGGCCGATCGCTGATCCGAGAGATCCGCGCGGACCTCCGAGTTGCAACGTGTATAGCACTGTTTGTTCCCCTACAAGACTCGACAAAATTACCCTCACAAATGCACGCCCCTTCTACCAATGTCGGGGCGTCCCTTCAATGTCGGCACGCCCGGAAACGTCGTGGCCAGGGGGCACTTGATCGTTCAGCAGGGTCAAGTCGAAAGTTCGATGATGATCGACATTGAAGGGGGCGCGCCAAGAAGTACGGGGCGTTCATCGCGCGCCACCCCAGAACACACACACACACACAAGAAACAGTTGGATGATTATGCAACGCGCTTGTGCGGTAAATTTTGACGAGGGTCGTAGGATTAGGTCGAGCATGTTCTCCTACAGGCAGATCTTCGACGAAAAATCAAACATACCCAAAACAAATACACATAACGGTTGAAACACATTCGCAAAAAACGTTCCCTGACTATTGTTTTACTATTTTTGAATATTCCTCCTGTAGAGGGACTCGTAGGAGGGAGGGAGGGGGGCTGAGGAACTCTGAGTGGGGGAGGGAGCAGCGGGGAGGGAGGTGGGGGCGGAGGGAACGAGGCGGAGGAGGGAGAGCCCAGATGAGGGAGGACAGGGGCGAGGGAGGATGGGGCGAGGCTGGGCACTCGAGGTGGGGGGAGAGGAGGAGGGGGAGGAGGAGGAGGAGGAGGAGGAGAGGAGGAGGAGCAGGAGGAGGAGGAGAAGGAGGACGAGGAGGAGGAGGAGGAGGAGGAGGAGGAGGAGGAGGAGGGCCGGAGGAGGAGGAGGAGGAGGAGGAGGAGGGGAGAGGAGGAGAGGAGGAGGAGCAGGAGGAGGAGGGAGGAGGAGGAGGAGGAGGAGGAGGAGGAGGAGGAGGATGGCGGAGGAGGAGGAGGAGGGAGAGGAGGAGGAGAAGGAGGAGGAGGAGGAGGAGGAGGAGGACGACGAGGACGACGAGGAGGAGGAGGAGGTGGAGGGCGGAGGAGGAGGAGGAGGAGGAGGAGGAGGACGGAGGAACAGAAGGGGAGAAAAGCGTGAGGCGAGAAGGGCATGGCGGGGCAGGGCGGGGCACGGGAGAGGGGCAAAGTGTCCCATTCCTCTCTCCGTGTTCGCCCTTCCTGCCCCGCCTCTTCCTTCGACTCTCCTCGCAGACGTCGCCGTCGTCCTCCTCCTCCTCCTCCTCCGCCTCCTCCTCCTCCTCATCGCGCTGCTCCTCCTCCCCGTCCTCCTCACCCTCCTCCCCCTCTACTCCCAATTCTCCTCTTCCTCCTCTTTTCCTCCTCCTCCTCCTCTTCCTCCTCCTCCTCCTCCTCCTCCTCCTCCTCCTCCTGCTCCTCCTCCTCCTCCTCCTCCCCTGTGCTGATGAAGTGTTCTGCGCGCATCGCCCAGCTTCAAGTTCTTCCGAAATCGTGGGGGCCCGAACGCCTGGAGGGCGCGGAGAAGCAGATGGACGAAGACACTGGCAGGTGGGCGCGCCCAGAGAATCCGGCATGCCCCTGGCACCAGTGGACACCCAATCCAGAATGTCGACGTTAGGCGTGTCTTTGAAAACTCATTATAACATACACCGCCTCGGTTTAGCATCGTGTCTGATGCATAGCGTTTTGTGGCCTTTAGTGGCCTCTTAGCGGCCTTTAGTGGCCTCTAGCGGCCATTAGTGGCCTTCAGCTGCCTTTGGTAGCCTCTAAAGAAAATAATTCTGTATGTAAAGATGAGCTTCCACCGCGCGATGGCCAACCGACGAGCGACGCGTCGGGTCGTCGAGCGACACGTCCTCAGAGAGCCCTCCACGGCGACCAGAAGCCAGCATGGGCACGGGGAGGCGCCACGATTCCGTGGCGGGGCGCCCCAGATCGCCACAGCTGTGGCCCCTCCTGAGCGAGGGACCGTTGCCCAACATCGGCGATCGGCCGGCAAGTGAACCACTCCTGCGCAACGCTCTGGGCCGCCCCCGTGCCCCAGCCGCGCAAGAAGGCCAGGCCCTCCCAGCCTGGTGCGCGCCGCCGGCCCCACGGGAGGGTCCGCGCAGGCGGTCACGTCGTCGAGGACCGTCCCCACGACTTGCTACCGCCGCGACCGCCCATCCAGCCCTGCCCAGGCCGGCGCGAGCTGTGTTGGAAGGCGCTTCCATCGACGGAAAAAGTCCCCGACGGCTTCCATCCAGGAGCGACACCGACAAAGCGCCACCAATTTTCTTCGGAAGCTTCAGGACGGGGAAAGCAATGCCTGGGCGAGGGCCACCGTCAGCGACGGCACAAGTCGCCAACCAACTGCTTCAGACCCTGGACACAGCTGGCAGCTCGCCCTACATGCTCAGGGCAAGCCACGCGCCGCCCTGCGCTGGGCCTCGGGCCATCGTAAAATCAATGCAACAGCGCGCACCGTGCTCCGCAGTTTACCAGCCCGGAACATATCCCTATCCCTAAGCTGGGCATCGCCTCAACCCAATGCCAATCTTAGGGATTCCCTTCGTTTTTCAGGGCGCATCCCTAAGACTGTCATCGCCTTTTGGCGTGCCAATCTCAGGGATGGGGATCCGTTCCAGGCTGGTGAGCAGTGGGGCGCAGCGGCCGCGCAGAGCCTTCCCACGATCACGCAGCCTGGCTCGGGGCCAGTGGCTGCCTGACCACGAGCGATCGGGTGGCAGGGCCTGCCTAGCGGGCTGCCCAGCCCGCCGCGCAAGAGCTGCCACGCGGGTCAGAGCAGGGCGACCCGGTGGACGGGGCGAAGCCCAGGCGCCCGAGCGCTGCAACAGAAGCGTCGCGGACCAAACTCATAAAGAACACAGGTCCAGTCCAGCTCGCAACCGTCCAGCCACTCGTGAGCGTACGCTGGGCGTCTGAATGTGGCGAGCAGCAGAGGCCTCCCAAGCGGGGTCCGAGTGGATACAGTCGAGCTGCTGCGGCTTCAGAACAGAGCCCGGGTGGACGAGAAGGGCCAGATATCTCCCTCGAAGTGAAGACTGCGGGATGCCCAAATCTCCCCCCAACGGGCCCCTAGAGACCGTGGCCGAAGCGGCCCGCGGCGCCACTTCCACGCGCGCAGACCAAGAAGTCTGCTCGAGATATCTCGGAGCCTGGAAATGGCTCCGCAGAGGAGGAGGATGAGGATGAGGAGGAGCAGGAGGAGGAGGATGAGAACGAGGAACTGGGCGGCCTTCCCGTTTCCACAGCCCCCCACCGCAAAAATCCCCGGTTTACCGTTTGCGTTGAAGGCGGGGGTGGAGGGCGACGAGGACGAGGGGGCAGAGGAGGGAGACGGAGGCGAGGGGGCGCAAATAGTGGCCCAGCAGCGGCAACGGCACGACGACGCAGGAGAGGAACGGAGAAGCGAGGGGCGGCGAACAAAACCGACGGGACAAGACGCCAACCATGCAGGGGGGACGGACGACACGAGACGCCCCGCCGAGGCGAGCGGGCCCTCGACGCCTCCACCACGCCGCGCGGAAACCCCACGCTGAGCATCGCGCAACTACCTCCTCCGCCGCCTCCTCCTGGTCCTGGTCCTCGTCCTCCTCGTCCTCCTTCTCTCCCTGTTTGTCCTCCCCCCCTCCTCCTCCTCCTCCTCCTCCTCCTCCTCCTCCTCCTCCTCCTCCTGCCCCTCCTCCTCCTCCTCCTCCTCCTCCTCCTTCTCCTCCTCCTGCGAGCCGCGCAGAACTCCCGCGTTGGCCCTGGCTTTCCTGGGGGCCGCGCCGAGACCGCCCGCGCGCGCAGAAGGGCGGCGAGGGGGGCCCGTCTGCCCCGGAGGCCACGCCTGCGCCGTGCCCGGGGCTGCACGCGCGCCCCCGGAGAGCGATGACGCCTCGGACCGACACGGAGCGCGCAGACTCGCGCCGATGCTGCGCGTCCTCCTTTTGCAGGCGCGGGCCCGGCCCGAAACATATCTGGCCATCGCTCGGACGTCCATTCCCTGTGTTTTTCGGTTTCGTACGTGGTTTTTCGCCAAATGATCAAGGATGCTCCTCGATGGTCCTCGCCGAAGGAAAAATACACTCGTCCGAGCGATGCCAAGATATAGTACAGCCATCGTGTAGCACATCGTTTCCCGAGCGACGTGGCCAGAAAGCGCCCGCAACGACGCGCACGCCATCAGACTTCTCGGCGCGCGCGCGTCGCCCCATCGTGGGGGCGACGGGCGCGTGGTATCTATAGGCTGGGGCGACGCCGACTACGTTGCGACGCAGCCGAACTCAGATTCCTCTTGCCCCGATCTGCGCATCGCAGCCGAGGGTGCTTGTGCCTCCCCTGTCGGGGCTTCCTTGGGTCAGCTCCGCAATCGTATTTCTGGAGCAATTGGTTTTGCGCGAACTCGCCAGCCTCGTCGAGGATGGAGGCGCGCCGCCAGATGGGGAACGGCATCCGCCTCATCACCAGCAGCTCCGTTCAGATAAGCAGACCTCTGACTGATGTTCGGCCTTGTCGTGCAAAGCGACAGATCCATCCTCGGCGGCGTCCTGATGACACACGTGCCCAACGGCCCCATGAGGAAACATAGGAGCACCATGAAAAAAGGCAGCTGCATTACCCTGAGCAGGAGCGCCCTGATGATCAGCGGGTCCGGTCATGATGACCGGCGCCCCCATCTTCTGCAACGCCCTGTCGATCGCCATCTCCATCGGCACTTCCCTGAAGACCAACAGCTCCCATAATAACGGATCCCCCAGACTCAGCTGTTCCCTAGAGGTCAGCAGCTCCATGAAGAGCGACGCCCCCATCCTCGGCAGCGCCCTGGAGATCATCATCCCCGTCGGTTTGACCATGAAAGGCGGCGCCACCAGACGCAGCCCCGATGCGATCATCCTCAGCAAGCCCCTGAAGATCACAAGCGTGATGAAGAAAAACATCGGCACCCTTCAGATCACCCTCTCCATCAGCTCTTCCATGCAGGGCGACAAGATTACCGTCCTCAGCATTTCCCTGAAGAACAGCAGCTCCATGAGGAAATAACGTCTATGCTCGGCAGCGCCCTTAGGATCAGTATCTACATCAGCTCCTCCCTGAAGAGCGGCATCGTCAGAGACAGCTCCACTATGACCATCGACCCCATGAACAACAGCATCAGGGAAGACGCCCACCTTGTATTCGCGAGAGTCGCCATCGTCTTTTGCAACCCAATCAGCCAAGCCAGAATGATGCCAATCCAGAACGATGCAACAAAAGCGTCTGCGTCGTGGCATCACGGGCCTCTCCATGAAGAACGACATCCTCCTCGAGACTCGCGTATCCGCGATGATCCCTGCGCTACGTAGAGCGGCGCATCCGTCCTCGCCGCGGCCACGAACAACACCGGCATCGCTGGACACCGCTCCATCATGCCCCGCGTCCAAGGAGATCCCCGAAGCGCTCGCAGCTCGCCCTCCAGGTTGTCCAAGACGGCGTCGGCGTGGTACTGGGTGAGGTGGCGCACCACCTGGTACGCATGCTCACGGTCCTCCAACTGCTTCACCACCCGCTCGTCCAGGCTACAAGGGGCGGCCCGCTCACGAACACGCATCACTCCGCAGCGGATGGTTGGGACATGCCGTGCCTGGTGCGCGGCGAGGAGATCCCAGCCCCGCTGGCAGCTGGAGGCGAGGATCGCCAGGGCCCCATCGCCTCGGGCACGCGAGCGGGCCATGAGGAGGGAGGAGGAGGAGGAGGAGAAGGAGGAGAAAGAGGAGGACGGGGAGGACGAGGAGGAGGAGAAGGAGGACGAGGAGCAGGAGGATCATCACGTGGAAGAGCTCATTCATTTATTATTGCCCTTCTCACGATTATCAACATTATTACCGATATTAATATTACTATTACTATTGCGATTAAACGCCCGTCACCAGCCCCGCCCCCACCCCTCACGTCGCGATTCGTGCGGGCGCCGTCTGGGGATGAGCCACACCCGGGCGTTCCAGCACGGCGCCAGCGCGCGTCGCGACGCAGCCGGCGCCCTGCCCTTCTCCCCCCCGGTCACATCAGGGCTCGAGCAAGAGATCGACTACAGAATTGACTTACCCTCAAATAAATATATATATATATATATATAATCATATAACAGAGAACTTACGACAAAATACATCGAATGTGCATCTACAACATGTTTGCTTTTTTGTCTGTAGATTCGGCGAGCTATTCAATTCTGCAGTGCGATGGCCATGGGTTCCCTGACCGCCCGAAGACCTGAAGACTTGACGATACGCTCTCTCCACGCCCGACCTGAAGGCCTGAAGGCCTGAAGATCTGTAGACCTGTTGGAACGAAGATCTGGACATCAGCTGGTCAATCCGACGACCTGAAGACGTGACGTGCTGAAGACACGCTGCTCTGGCCGACGACCTGAAGACGTAAAGACATGAAGACGTGCTGCCCTGGCCGACGACCTGAAGACATGAAGACATTAAGAGAAGCTTATCGGGTTCTCAGGTCGTCGGATCTTCGGATATGGACGTGAAGGAGGTGGAGAAGAAGGAAGAGGGGGACGACGACGAGGACGACGATCAGAAGGGAGAGACGGATGGAGCGGGGAGGATGACGCCGACGAGGGAGGGAGGGGGACAGGGAAGGCAGGGAGGGAGGAGAACGACGGGAGGGCGGAGGAGCCAGGCTTTCCGCCACAAGCGCAAAGCGGGAAGGGAAAAGGGACGCAGCAGCAACTGCAAGAAGCAAAGGGGTGCACCTGGAGGGGGGCACCAGAAGTTTTCGCGAGAACCTCAGGGGACCTAGAAAACAACCAAGGAAGCCAACACCCGACAACCTCGACCTCCCTTCTCGACCCCCTCCCACCCTTCTCGTGTCTCTCCTCCTGCTCCTCCTCCTGTTCCTCCCCCCTCCCCTGCCCCTCAGGCGCACACCACCTCATACCTCGTATGCTTCCTGTGCTATTCCTCCTCTTCCTCGGCCTCCTCCTCCTCCTCCTCCTCCTCCTCCTCCTCACCTCCCTCGTTTTCCTCCCTGGCGGCCACCGTGGTCTGGCGCGGGAGGGCTGCCGCGGGCTCTTCCCGCCGCTGTCCCCCGACGGCGACGACGGCGACGGCGACGACGACGACGGCGGCGGACGACGACGACGGCGGCGGCGGCGACCGACTACGAAAGCGACACGATGAGAGGCGGAACAGAAACCGGCATCCGCAGACGGCGGCATCCGCAGAGGCATCCGCAGCAGACGGCGGCATCCGCGGCGGGAAAAAGCGCTGTGTTTCCCGGCCAGACAGTGTAGGACATGTAACAAGTAACAATAATCCACAGCTGCGCAAGCAGCAGGGTCAAGAGTTTGCGCTCGGAACGGGGGCAGGAGGAGCAGGAGGAACATTGGGGGACGGCGGCTGACAACGCGAAAACAAATCGCCACGGACCGTCCGGTCGGTTCGGCCGTCTGCGTCATATATACCCGCTCTCTTCCCGCACCTCCCCGTTCAGACCCTCAAATCAGTTATCTTTCCTCCTTCGTCACTCGTCAGTCCTTCATTCTCCCCCCCCTTTCTCATACCCCTTCTCCCTGTTACCCTTCCCTCCGCTCTTGCTTTCATCGCTCTTCCATCCTTCATCATCATCGCCACCACCATCATCAGCATCATCATAATCATCATCATCATCATCATCATCAACATCATTATCATCATCATCATCATCATCATCATCATCAGCATCATCATCATCATCATCATCATCATCATCATCATCATCATCATCATCATCATCATCATCATCATCATCATCATCTTCATCTTCAGCAGCATCAGCATCAGCATCAGCATCATCACAATCACCATCACCACCACCAGCACCATCATCAGTATCGTCATCATCATCATCATCATCATCATCATCACCACCATAATCATCATCATCATCATCATCATCAGCAGCAGCAGCATCGTCATCGTCATTTTTCATGGTCAACATCATCACCACTACCACCATCATCATCATCGTCATCAGCATCATCATCACCGTCGTCATCGTCATCATCGTCATCATCATCCTCATCATCCTCACTTCCATCATCAGGTTCATCATCATCAGCATCATCATCAGCATCATCAACATCATCATCATCTTTTGTTCATCATCATCATCGTCATCATCATCATGATCGTCATCGTCCGCGTACTGATCACCAGACCGACAGTCTTGCCCATTCTCCTGCACACACACACACACTTCCACATGGCCCTCTTCATCAGATTCCATGTGGCCCCCTCATCATGGGCATAACCACCACCAACACCTTCAGCAGAAGCATCCACATGCTTCCCCTCATCGTCACTCAGACAACGGCCACTGACCTCTCCCCGCCCAGAGAGGCCTGAGTCTCCCCAGGCAGACAAATATGTGTATATATGTGTATGTAGCAGTAGGGGGCCTCCCGAATGCGGGTGGTGAACACCTGCCGGGGCGTTAGGCCCACACATGCCAAGGGATCCCCTCCTGAGCGAAGGGATGTGCCTGCAGATGCGAGGCTCTACACACATTACAACATGACAACCCTGGGCTTGTCCAGGCTTCGCCCAGGGGGCGGCCTGCTCGGGGGGGCCCCGCGGGCTGGGTGAACTTGCCGAAGCGTCGCCGGATGGGCGGACGTGGGCGCCTCCTGGTGGCCCCGAGCGCTGGGTCGGTTTTCCGGGGCTTCGCCCGGCGGGCGCCCGTGCGCACCTCACGGCCGCTCCGTTCGCTGGACGGGTCCGGCCGGGGCTTCGCCTGGCGGGCAGCCGTGAGTGCCCTGCGGGCGCCCCGTGCGCTGGGCAGAGTCTGCCGAGGTTCTGCCTGGTGGGCGCCGCGTGGGCGCCGCGCGGGCGCCCCGTGGGCTGGGCAGGTCTGCGGGTGCTTCGCCTGGTGGGCAGCCGTGAGCGCCTCGTGGGCGTCTCGCGCTGCCTGCACGGCATCGCTAGAGTATCACATGGCCTACACCGCTTTGCTTACACCCCGCAGGTTGCACACAACAGGTTTCACCACATAGCTTACTCCGCCTGACTTGCACCGGATTGCTTACACCATCTGGCTTACATCACATAGCTTGACCAACACACATGAATTGCACCGCACTGCCTGCAGCGCGAACAGCTTGCACCGCCTCGCGTGCAACACATACCTTACATACCCAACGCAAACACCCGCTGTATGGGGTTCACGGGAAATCATGCACTGCCAGGCCCTAGCCGGCTATCTTCCAGGCTGTGGCCGGAGACTTGCGAATTATAGCATTAGCTCTCATACTCTTGCCTTATCTGGTTCTCATCGTACTTACGGACCACATACCAGAAGTAGTTTCGAGCACCCAGAAAAGCATCGACACAATGTCGAGCGAGTCTCGCCTGCCAGGGTCCCACTCGTGAGAAAACCTTCAAATTTCGAATTACTTTCGGTGGTCAAGGCTAAAGTCCAGTGCATGCCAGTCGACAAGAAACTTTCCACAAGAAACCCAACCCTGAGACCCCAAGACGTCCATCGATTTTTGGTGTGGGAGCATCACGCTTTCCATAGCAAAACCATCGAAACCCGAGGCACCCTGGAGGCAAGCAGGGTGTTTCTTGGCATGGGTCTCCACTGTAGGTTGGAACATCCTAGCTCTTGCCAAGATTGGTACCGAGGCGCTGCGCGAGAGGAAAAAGACGGTGGGAAGGCACGCGCGCCGAGGCGAAAATGGGGAGCGCTGCGACGCGACGCGAAGGAGCGCGGCTGCGGCACCGGCAAGAGAAGGGCGAGCGGAGACAGCGGGAGCGGGAAGCGGGAACCTCGGGCACAGAGATCCAACGTATTGAACAAAATCACGAGGAGGTTTTTCACAGCTTTCGGCCTCTAGGGGCCTTCACTGGACCTCAGAACCATCAAAAAACGACGCGGGATGAAAAACTGGTCCTGGGGAATGGGTCGAGACTTCCGGGGACCCCTTATGGAACAAAAATCACAACATCGGATCTCTGTGGGGGCGTCCAAGAGGGGAGCGTCCAAGAAGGGGGGTGCAAATCATGGCCAGC